CCATCCTGGGACCTCTCGGGACCTCCCGGGCGCTTCTTGGGGCCATCTTGGAGGAGATCGTTCAAACAAGAGGGGGGCATTAATTAGCGCCCCCCCCAGGAGGCCAAAAGGCGCTTGCCCCATCTCATCAGAACACAGGTAACCAAGACACCCTGTAGCTGCTTTCCTGGAAAACGAAACGGGGGGATCGGCCATCTCATCGGGACCGCATTTCAGATAGGCAGGCGGGCTGCCACATGGCCTACCCGTTGAGATCAAGAGCTGGCGAAGTGGGGGATAGGAGAAAGAATCGCAGATGAGGACAGAGGATGCGAAGGAGGAGAGTAGTGCAAATTGAGGCCATCATCGGGCCCACATGCCAGGTGGTGCTTCGACACATTGTGCGGCGCCATCCCGCCGCTGATTAGTTCCTGGTCGGAGCGCAATCTGCTCTGACCCGTCCACCTCCTCCCCACCTCTTCCGAACTCCCAGCTGGGTGCCACTAGCGGATTGGCTCACCGACTGCCGAAACAGCATCGAAGCATCGCGCTATATAACGGCATCACAACCAACTGAGAGCGCGGCGTAGTACGCTACTTCGTCGGATATCGAGGCGAGGGCCACGTCGACGTCCAAGCAGTGGGGGCGCTCTTCGTCCCATACTGTCTGCGCCAACTTCACCTTGATCTCCTCCAAGCTGCTCATCCTACGCGGAGGCCACTGTCACAGTAGCCGATCACCACCACCATCCAATGCGCGATGACTGAGAGCTGCAAGGGCAAGGGAAGGTTCTGCCTGGACGACGTGGCTCATGGCTTCTGACGCCGCGTGCAGCATTCTAATCTTCTGGACCGATCTCCGCTCTATCTTTCGTGCGGATTCCGCGCCGTGGGATGCTTTCCGCCGCGTGTAGCGTTCCAATACGGACGGACCTCCGCTCGGTCTTTCGTGCGGATTCCGCGCCGTGGAATGCTTTCCGCCTCGTCTAGCGTTCCAATCTGGACCGATCTCCGCTTCGTCTCTCGTGCGGATTCCGCGCCGTGGGCTGCTTTCCGTGGGTCCTGGGGCTGGACTTAGGCCGGGGATGTCCCCCTACAGGCGGATTTTGGCAGACAAATTATGGCATCAAAACATATTCAAACATAGTCGAAACTAGTCGAAGGATCGTCCCCAGACTATTTCCCAAGCATCCTGTGGTGTTGGGTCCTCGTTTTGAAGAGACAACGCCCCGCGTTTCCTCCTCCTCCTCATTTCTCCTCCCCCCCCTCCTTGCCTCTGTTCTCCGCGTGTCCATCCCCCCCGCGCACCCCTCACACGTTTCGAGGCCCCATAAAAGCCCCACCGGACGCCCCAGTGGCAGGGTCCGCATGGCGTGCCCGCCCACAAGGAGGCGCACCCTTCACACGCTTCGTGGCCCCATAGGAGGCTCCACCGAAGGCCTCAGCGGCAAGGTCCGCATGGCGTACCCGCACCCGATTCGACACACCCCTCACACGTTTCGTGGCCCCAAAAAAGCTCCACCGAATGACCCAGCGGCAGGGTCCGCATGGCGTACCCGCACCCTTTTCGGCACACCCCCCACACGTTTCGTGGCCCCAAAGGGAGCTCCACCCAAGGCCCTAGCGGCACCGTCCGCATGGCGTACCCGCGCCCGATTCGGCACACCCCTCATTTGTTTCGTGGCCCATAGGGAGCTCCACCCAAGGCCCCAGCAGCACCAGCGGCACCGACCGCATGGCGTACCCGCCCACAGTGAGGCGTACCCTTCACAAATTTCGTGGCCCCATAGGGAACCCCACCGAAAGCCCCAGCGGCACCGACCGCATGGCGTACCCGCACCCGCGTCGGCGCACCCCTCACGCGTTTCGTGGCCTCATAAAGGTTCTCCACCGAAGGCCCCAGCGGCAGAGTCCGCATGGCGTAACCGCACCGGATTTGGCACACCCCTCACACGTTTCGTGGCCCCAAGGGGAGCTCCACCGAAGGACCCGGCGGCAGGGTCCGCATGGCGTACTCGCACCCGATTCGGCAGACCCCCACACGTTTCGCGGGAGAGCTTGCGGAAGCAGCCGGAACAGTTTGCGGCGCGCACGAAGCGGTGCAGGAGGGAGGCGACGACCCTCGCCCGGGAGCTGGGCTTCGCCGAATTTATCCGCCAGGCCTGACCAAAGGAAAGGCCCGTCCGAGCCTCGCCTTCTTTCGACGGTCTGAGTGTTTGGTCCCGCGCCTCGGACGCCCCGCGCGCGTCGCTGGGACCCTCTCAGGCCGATCAGAGCGCGTCGCGGGAACTCCGTGCTGTGCTCTGCCCAGCGCCTCGCTCGCTTGTCGTCGCTCTGCCCAGCGTCCAGAACCTTGCCCGCTATCAGCCAGCCAGCTAATTCTCTTGGCTCCGCGCAGTGGACGACCCGCGCGCGTCGCTGGGACCCCTTCGGGGCGACCGGCGCGCGTGCCGGGCCCTCCGCGCTGCGCTGCGCCCGCAGCCTTGGACATTGGCGCGTGCGGGCGCAGAGGGAGAAAAAAAAAGGGAAGGAAGCGGGCGCGATCCTCGTGAGGGGCGCGCCGACATGAGCGTCGACATTCATGCACATAGAGTTACTCTCACGCAGGTTCATTCACAATCATACTCATTCACGCTCAGACTCACCCGCGCTCAGTCTCTTGTAATCATGCCTGTCGTCTTCGTTCGCGTCGTGCACCCCGCCGCACATTGCGGCGCACACCTCACGCGGTTCGTGGCCGTTTGGGGAGCACCACCGACAACGATACTCACAATTGCAGCATTCAAAACTGCATATGGTTGGGTCCTTCGCCGGGGTAATTTTTCACTATTTTTGAGTTTTCCCCCTGTAGAGGGATAGGCCCAACTTAGGGCTGGACGCGGGCTGCCTATCGGGCGCTCGACCTGGAACGTCCGCGCTGGCGCCGCAGCCGCCTCGAGGCGGCTCGGACCTGAGTCAGGCAGGCGGCGGGATGGGCCAATCTCCAGGGCCATCGAGGCATCTCCTGCGTGCAAGGCTTTTCGCTTGCGGAAGGCTGGCGGCAAAACGAACCCAGGACGAGGATAAAGTCGGGTACGGATAAATCGAGAATCCCTGAGATCGCGCGGATCTGGAGCATGTCTCTCGGGCGCCGCGGCCCTCTCAGAGAGTTCCGGAACGCTCTGAGAGCGTTCCGGAACTGGCCCCGCCCGAAGGGCATCCGGCCTACCCAATTGGGGTCTCCTCTCGGCCGCTCCACGAGGATCTCGAGAGCCTCACGCCACTCCACGCTGCCCGCCCCGTGCTGACCTCCGACGGTCTGCACCGTGCCGATCGAGAGGCGAAATCTGGCCCAGGCGCAGGTGCGTGGTGTGATGCGCACGTGCGCGCGAAGGTGTCTGGCCCCTCTGTGGCCCCTATATTTAGCCGAAATCGGCGCGTTCCACGACATTGCATCTGATTGGCAATTTTTCCACCACCACTACCGTAGGTCGGAGAGGGAGGAGAGGAGAAGGAGAGGGAGGGATGAGAAGGAGGAGGATGAGGCGGAGGCGGAGGAGGAGGAGAAGGAGGAGGAGGAGGAGGAGAAGGAGGAGGAGGAGGAGGAAAGAGGGAGGAGGAGGCGGAGGACGAGGAGGGGAGGGCAAAGGGAGGGGGGCGGGGGAGGAGGAGGAGGAGGAGGAGAGGAGGAGGAGTAGAGGAGGGAGGAGGAGCAGGAGGAGGAGGAGGAGGAGGTGAAGGACGAGGAGGACTTCCCCATCGTCCCTTCTCCCCCGTCCTACCTAATGATGGTAGTGGTGGTGGAAAACTGGCCCATCAGCATCGCCGTTCGAACCATGCTGTATTTTCCCCAAACAGCGCCTGCACTGAGGGAGGAGGAGGAGGAGGAGGAGGAGGAGGAGGAGGAGGAGGAGGAGGAGGAGGAGGAGGAGGAGGAGGAGGAGGAGGAGGAGGAGGATGAGGAGGGGGATACAAGGAGGAATAGAATACGAGGAGGAGGAGGAGCAGGAGGAGGAGGGCAATGCGGAGGAGGAGCAGGAGGAGGAGGAGGGCAAGGCGCAGGCGCAGGCGGAGGAGGAGGAGGAGGAGGAGGAGGGAGGAGGAGGAAGAGGAGGAGGAGGAGGAGAGGAATACGAAGGAGAGGAGGGAGCGGAGGAGGAGCAGGAGGAGGAGGGCAATGCGGAGGAGGAGCAGGAGGAGCAGGAGGAGAGGAGGGCAAGGCGGAGGCGGAGGAGGAGGAGGAGGAGGAGGAGGAGGAGGAGGAGGAGGAGGAGGAGGAGGAGGAGGAGGGGAGGAGGAGGAGGAGGAGGAGGAGGAGGAAGAGGAGGACTTCCCCATCGTCCCTTCTCCCCCGTCCTACCTGATGATGGTCGCGGTGCTGGAAGGCTGGCCCATCAGCACCGCTGTCTGAAACATGCTGGTTTTTCTCCCCAGGCAGCGCCTGCACTCAAGAAGGGGGAGGAAGAAGAGGAGGAGGAGGAGGAGGAGGAGGAGGAAGAAAACGAGGAGAAATACGATGATGATGATGATGATGAATGGGGGAGGAGGAGGAGGAGGAGGAGGAGGAGGAGGAGGAGGAGGAGGAGGCGGAGGAGGAGCAGGGGAGGAGCAGGAGGGCAAGGCTGGGAGGAGGAGGAGGAGGAGGAGGAGGAGGAGGGAGGATGGAGGAGGAGAGAGGAGGAACAGGAGCAAGGCGAGGAGGGCAAGGCGGAGGAGGGAGGAGGAGGAGGAGGAGGAGGAGGAGGAGGAGGAGGAGGAGGAGGAGGAGGAGGAGGAGGAGGAGGAGGAGGAGGAGGGGGAATACAAGGAGGAAACATGCTGGTTTTTCTCCCCGGGCAACGCCTGCACTCGAGGGTTCTGGCTTGTCGTCTTGAAGACTCTGGACCAGATTTGTCGGGCTTTCGGCCGGTGCTCGGCCGTGGGCGTCTCAAAAGGGGGTGCTTCTCGTGGACGCTGCGTGCCTCGTGCGCCACGCAGCCTGCACAACATAAGTTCCAGAAATCGAAATGAAAGAAAACTACCGCGATGGAGCAAAAACTACGGTTAGGTCGGGCATGTCCCCCTACAGGCGGATTGTGGAGGAAAAATAAAAAACATACGCAACAAATGCTCAAGCAATAATCGAAAAGAGTAGAACAATCGTCCCCTGACTATTTTCTGACCATTTTTGAACATTCCTCCTGTAGAGGGACATGCCCGACTTAAAACTACCGTGAGAGGTCTGGAGGCTGCTTTTCTTCAGGCCCAGGCTGATCAACTTGCATGGCGTCCTTTTAGAAGAGCGCTGGGCCAGAAAGGAGTGCAATCGAGTCCCAACTCTCGGGGGCGCGCAAGCATGGATTAGCGATTCATGGATTTGGCGCGCGGTCGCCAAATCCATGGATCGGGGGAGGTGCCCTCACCAAAATGCGGCGGCGGAAATCCGCGATTTCCCATGGAAACGGGACCCGTCGCTAATCCACGCCCCCTTGATCCATGCTTGCGATCGCCTGATTCCCGTTCGGGCCTCACCACGCCGCCCACGTCCCCCGCCCCGTCCATGCAAGCAACTTGCCAGAATCGAAAAGAAAAAACTGCCTCCTACAGTAGGAATTCGACAACAAGAAACCTTCCGCAAGAAGCCCAACCCTGAGACCCCAGGACGTCCATTCATTTTTAGTGTGGGCGCGTCACGCCTTCCGTAGCAAAACCGTCGACATCCAGGAAACCCAGGGCACCCTGGAGGCAG